GATAGCTTAATAAAAAACGGCTACATAGATGAATAGTACCGCGATTTACCTCTTGCATTGGCCCCAAATCATGGATATCTGTTTTATCAGTTGGTATAAAACTAAGTCTTACATTTTGCAGTTGTAGATACCTATCTTTAAATGCAGAATCATGACCTCTGAAATCGAATTCCTGTACATACATCCAAAGTCAAAATGAGAGTTTACTAATTTCTAAAAATTCATTTCTTAAAAAAAAAGAAGCAACATACCCTCCAATCTGATGGATAGTAATACGAATAACCATCTCGTTTGTCAACAAAGATTTCATAGTTCTCCGGTACTCCTGCATACACGTCATTTAATTATAAAAAGTAAAAAGTTTAGAGAATAAAAATTATAGTAACAGAGTACCTTGAGCTAGAAGGGGAGTCGCGGGTAATAATAAACCCAACGAAAGAGCCCCTGCTCCTAATAGATATGACCTTCTCATCAAGCATCCTGAAACAGAGATACTAGTAGAATTTTACCACGGAGAAAATGGCGTAAATGCAAACATGACTTCATAATTGATCGATATGAAATTTTCTTACTCTGTTGATTAGGGGACGTGTTTTCTGATGCCGAACATGTAATAATGTTGTGTAAGCCATGCCTATTCAAATTGTTGGCTGCTGGTGATGGAAGCCCAAGATTCAATGAGAGTGAAGTAGCTGCCATTTTTGTGGACAAAAATCACTAGATTTTTGCTTAACATGTTTATTTTTTCTCCTAATACAATCACTTTTTTTTCCATCATTTTTTCTTGCTCAATAGGATAAGATGCAAATTAAATGTGAGGATGACCTTTCCTGCCAAGGTCCAAATGGGCTTTTATGTCTCTTTCAACTACAACTAAATGAGCTGTGCTTCATATGTGGGGCTAAAATTTGACTATATCCACATTGATAATTTTTACTAATTGTTCTTGCAAATTTTTCACAAGTTTACCATGTCATAAATATCTGTATGTAACAACAGCACAAACTTGAATCCTTGATGGATGAGGCGGATCTAATGTATTGATACCGAGTTTATCTGAACTCAGTACTTTTAATGCGAAATATAAATTTATGTGTAAAAATTCATCAAAATTGCAATAGATAGTAAATGTAAACTTATAACTTAAAAATTAATGGGTTGATCAATGCTAAAAACCTTAACAATTGACTTCGAAGAATTTAAGATAATGATACTTTAACAACTCGACCATATGAAATGTGATATCAAATGCACCCATGTTGATGTGGAAAAACCAAGCACAGGTTCTTTCAATCACTGTATAGCACAAGCTATTTGAAAGGAAATCCAACTGGCGATGCATCAATGATCAATTTACATCCTAGCGTGGAGGTATTCATCAACTGTGTAAATGCAACGCCAAATATAATTGAAGAATGATCAAAGGGTACCAGGGGTGGAGTACGCCATGTTAATGTACCTTGGATGATCCAAATCTCAGTGTATGCGTCTAAAGTTTCAATCCTGAAATACAATATACAGGAAAGGAAAAATAGCAAGCAAACAATAATATTTGTATTTGAATTAATACTAAGGTTACAATCTTTATAAAATATCTCAAAAAGATATTTAATCCCCTGATTCTTCTCTTCACAGATGTTATTGATTTGGCGGAATACTTGCGGCTCAACCCTTGGAGCGAAGACTTCTTTATATGCTGAAAAGCAATTATGTATTCCTGTGTATATGTATTTTTTTTTGTCCTTTTGGTCAGAAGAATACCTCTTTATATAGGCTTGAGTTAGGGCTTTAGGGTATTTTGGTCTGAGCAATTTTGATCCCTGGGCCTGAAGAACATGAGTTGGGCTCATCTTGTCAACTTAATGGAATGATCCAAATGATTTGGACTTGATTTAAGTCATACAATTTTGGCTTAGATATTAATTAGACTTTATCAACCAGTAATTTGACTTGGTCAACATATGGTGATTTAAGATTTAATCCAAATGTAATATGGATTTATCAATAAAACTTCAGTGTTTACAAATGCCCCTACTTTGAGGCTTGTTGAGGTGCTTGATTTGTCGAACTTGTAAAGACAAGCCTTGAAGTATTTGTGAAGCAAATGTTTTTTTTATCGTAGTTGATCTTTCACGAGACATTTGAAGCTTCATGAGAGATGACCATGTCGATATGTTAAGGTCAACATTTACCATAGTCTTTATTACAATATTTTCTAATTTGTAAGAGGTCATTTGAATTTCAGTTGTTTATCAACTCATTTTCAACTTGAAATGTTTCAAGCTGATGAGACTTATCGCATGACATTTCTTCATGGTGTGGTAATTTCATTTGGGTCATCAACTACGAAATGACCACCAATTCAATGAGCAAGGATTGCGTCTACAAGCTTGACTTGGTGATATAGACCTTGTGATTTCAACGCAATTTTTAGGCTTTTACTTGAATAGAATGCAAAGAATTCAAATTCTCATGACGCGAGTCTATTCTCATTCAGACATATTTATTCATGTAGTTTCTGAGAAAATTTTACCATAATTTGGTTTCTATGAGATTTCCATAGCTCGACTTCCTTGAAAAATTTTCATAATTTGATTCTTATGAAAACTTGCCATAATTTATTTTTTATGGAATTTCCATTACTCGACTTCTTTGGAAAATTTTCATAATTTGATCTTTATGAAAACTTGCCATTATTTGGTTTGTATGAAATTTCCATAATTTGATTCCAGTGCTGAATTTTCATAATATAATTCATATGAAAATTTACCATAATTTTCATACTTTATAGGAAATAAACTTTCCATCACTAGAATTTTCCATAACTTGTAGAAATACAATTTATGTACTTTGATTTCTATAAATTCACATGCTCTTAAAAGGATTGATTGTCAATTTGAGGCATACATAACTTAATTTTCGTCACCTTTTTTCAGCACAACACGCCTGCTGTAGAAAGTTCATAACTTGTAGAAATACTGAATTCACGATCCGTTTGATGTTACAGAAACTAGACTTAGACGGATACGACATCTCCGAAATTCAAAACCAAAAACCTTCAGAATTGGCGGCAATTGATTTTTGAAGTTTGCTATCAGATTTGTCTTTTTTTTATATCTCTATGCCGTTCCACCAAAGCATCTCTATCTTGGTGTAGGAGATTCTGAATGACAAGCGACTTGTTTCTATAGAAACTAGACATCAAAGTCTATAACATATCTGAAAAATAAAGGTAAAACTCTTCATGAATTGATGAAAATTAATTTTTGATGTTGGTCTTCAATTTTATTGTTATTGTTTGCAGATTTGTGGAGTCTGACCAACACGTTTGTATCTTGGCGTATGAGAGCTCGAATGGAAAGAGACTTGATTCTATAGAAAATAGACTCTTAAATCTTCATGAGTTTACTTCTCTACATCTTTACCGAAGAGCCGCATATTGATTGAGAATTTTTTTATCATCTACATGGAGAGGCAACATAAAACTCTTAAGACAATAGGATCATATTCATCATGACAAGCGCAAGAGCATATGCCATAATTTTCATCATGCCAATTTGAAGCTTCCTGCAATTGGCACCGTGAGATATATCATTCATCATGATGAGAGTATGAGCATATGCCATAATTTTCACCATGACGATTTGAAGCTTCATGCAATTGACACCTTGAGACACATCATTCATCATGATGAGTGCGATAATATATGCCATAATTTTCACCGCACCGATTCGAAGCTTCATGCAATAGGAAACATGAGACACATCATTCATCATGAAGAGCGTGAGAGCATATGTCATTATTTTTACCATACCGATTTGAAGCTTTGTGCATTTTGCACCGTGAGATACATCACTTTTCCTTTCTTTTTTTAAAGTTTACGATGGGCTGCAAAAAGTTTCAATGTCATATCCAGAAAAAAGGGAAGTGTAATCCATAATTGGCGAGGAACCACTTGATGCATCTTCGTTTGTAGTTTCAACTTTGATCACGAACCACACTTTGTGCCTCTTCTTTTACAATTGCAGCTCCAACGACGAACCACTCTTAGTACATCTTATTCTACAATAGCGGCTTTGATGACGAATCATATGTGGATCATTTTCTTATAAAGTTGTGGCTTTGATGACGAACCACACGTAATATATATATATATATATATATATATATATATATATATAATTATTATTATTATTATTATTATTATTATTTTGCAGTTGCGGCTTTGACGAAGAACCACACTTGATATCTCTTCTTTTGTAGCTTCAACTTTGATCATGAACCACATTTGGTGCCTTTTTTTTGTAATTACGACTTTAGCGATGAACCAACACTTTGTAAATTTTCTTCTACAATTGTGGCGTCGCACATCTTTTTTTAGAGTTGTGGCTTTAATGAAGAATCACTCATGAAGTATTTTATTATTTAGTTGCAACTTAGACGACAACCCACACTTTACACTTCTTTGGAGGATCATGTAGAGAATTTCTTTAAGTCGTGCACGGATTATGATACTTTAAAATCATAAAAAAATGACTAACGAATCACATGAAAAGGCCCTCTTTGATGCGCAATGCCGTCCCTATGGTGCAAAGCTGGCACATGAAAAGTTAGATGGATCCATGGAGAAACTTCAAGCAACTCTAGCAGATGTGAAGGCAAATAATGTGATGTCTAACGATGAATTTGAGAGATTAACCAAGCTAGAAGAGGCGATCGAAAAGCCGCCAAGAAATCATAAGATTCAAACTCTTGAATTCAAACTTCTGATTGTTTCTTTCCATGAGCCCCCTTTCTTTATTAAAAAAAGACTACATATGCTAGCGTTCATATGAGGATTACAACAAAACTTAAGATTTTTTTCAGCTTTGCGCACATGTAGAAGAAAATTCATAGCATGAAGTAGGAGCATCGAAATAATGAGCTTCATTTTTTGTTGGAAAGATAACTTAGAGATCTTCAATATGTATAAAAATCATGTCCATGAGATTTATGGTTAATCACAAATCTATGTTCGAAGTTGAGTCAAAATCTGCGTGCTTGAATCTTTCGATATCTTCAGCTTTGCGCACATGTAGAAGAAAGTTCGTACATAGAGTAGGAGTATCGGAATAGTGAGCTTCTTTTTTTGTTGGAAGGATAACTTCGATATCTTCAATCTGTATAAAAATCAAATTCATAAGATTTACGATTTAATACAGATTTGTGTTCAAAGTTGGCACAAAATATGTGTGCTTGAATCTTCATTTAAAAGAATCAACATGATGTTCATATGGCAAAATTATATATTTTTTTCCTTCTTATGACTGAACATAGAGTAAAAATGCTCTAAGCTGCCTACGTACCTCAGTGAAGAGGATCAAGTCATAACGTAGTTTAGAAAGCGAGCTTTATTTTAAATTTTTAAAATATTTTTTCCTAACTTTTGCCTAGGCCGCCTCATTCGAGATTTTCAACCTATCGGACATTTTCTTTTGGGAATCGTACACAGTTCATACTCTTGTGTGCCAGGAGTATGAAACTGCTTCAAGGATAGTACTTCTTCAAGAATTTTCCATTGATAGGACCGATCCGCAAGTCGTCTGCATCAACAAGTTTGTAAGTTCCGCTTGAATAGATTTCTTGGATGAAGTATGGTCCATCCCATTTTGAGGTGAACTTAATTTTCAATTTATGAGATATGATAATTGGCCTTCTAACTGCAAGAAATTGATCACAAACTTGGAAGGACCTTAGGCGAACCTTTTTATTGAATGCACAAGAAAGATGAGCTTGATAAAATTCAAGACTTTGTTGAGATTCCAACCTATTCTCATCAAGAGCTTCTAAATCTTCAAGGCTCGGACGAGCATTATCTTCTTCAGTAAGTCCCTCTTTGATGGCAAGCCTTAATGACGGTAGTTGTCGTTCAAGTGGAAGGACTGCTTCAGTTCTAAAAATAAGAGAATAAGGAGTTGCTTGATTCGGCATGCGATGAGTCATTCGATATGCCCAAAGAGCTTCTCCCATTCTATCATGCCAATTTCTTTTAGATTTGGAGATGACCTTATTAAACAGATTGCACAGGGTCTTGTTAAATGCTTCAGCTAGACCATTTGCAGCAGCATAATACATTGAAGAATTACGTTGTTTGAAGCTAAAAAGGTCGCAAATCTTATCCATCAATTTATTGTCAAATGGATTTCCATTATATATTAGTATATAACTAGGAATGCCAACACGATAGATGATATTCACCTTCATGAAGTTTGCTACATTTTCCTTCTTTACTTTTTTAAGGGCTACTGCCTCAGCCCATTTTGAGAAATAATCTGTCGCATCAAGGATGTATAAGTGGCCGCAGAAGATCTTGACAGTGGTCCAACTACGTCTAGCCTCCAAGCATCAAATGACCAAGATGCAACAGTCGGATGTAATACATCAGGAGATTTGTACATAAAGTTTGCATAAAATTTGCATGCTTGACATCTTCGAGCATAATCCAAGCAATCTTTTACCATTGTTGGCCAATAATACCCCATTCTTTTTATATGAAAATGCAACTTTGTCCCAGATTGATGTGATCCACAAACTTCAGAATGTGCTTCTTTCATATCTTGATTTGCTTTTTCTTCATTCACATTTGGTGGTACTATCCATTTTTGGCAGATAGTGATTTGAGCTTGGTCGGGAAGAGTCAATGTTGAAGCCAAAGCAGCTAACACATCAACTTTCTTATTCTCCTATTCTTGGAACATATTGAAGATTTACATCTATAAGCCATCTAATAAAATTTTGTGCATAGTCATGATAAAGGCGCAATTCTGTCTTTTTGACTTCATAGCTATCTAACAATTGAATGGTCACTAATTTAGAGTCTCCAAAAACTTGTAATTGCAATTGCTTCATATCGACCGTCATTTCAAGCCCAAGTATTAAGGCTTGATATTCTGCAACATTATTGAAGCAACATTGTGTTAAGGTGAAGGAATATGGCAAGATCTCCTCTTGAGAAGTGATGAATATCACTCCAGCGACGACTCCTTCACGATGTGGGCCCCCATCAAAATACATATTCCAAGGCGGTTGAACTTCAACAAATTTTGCATCTTCATCAGGTAATTCATCATTGAGTTCCCAATCATCACGTATTGGGTGGTCTGCTAAGAAGTCTGTCAATGCTTGCCCTTTCACAGCCTTTTGAGGAACACACATAATTTCAAATTACTGAAACTGGAGATACCATCTTGCTAGTCGATCATTGAGGATGAGTTTCTACATCACAAATTTGATGGGATTTGCTTTATAAATAAGACAGACGACGTGAGCTTGAAAGTAGTGTTTCATATTTTGAATTGAGAAGACCAAGGACAAACATAGCTTTTTTATTGGCGTGTACTTTAACTCATTTGGTGTCATCATCCTACTTAGGTAGTAAAGGGAATTTTCTTTCCCTTCCCCATTCTCTTGGGCTAAGAGTGCTCCCACTGATCTTTGTTGAGCTGATATGTAAAGTATCAATGTCTTTCCAGGAACAGAAGCTGCTAAAACTGGTGGTTTGGTAAAGTAAGACTTGATGCTCTCAAAGGCATTACTACAAGTTTGGCCCCATTAAAAAAGAGTGCCCTTTTTCATATGACGACTGAATGGTTGGCAATTTCTTGCTAGATTCGAGATGAATCTCCTAAGATATGCTAGCTTCCCCTGCAAACTCTTCAATTCATGGATATTTCTTGGCTCGACTATCTTCAAAATTACATCTATTTTTTCTTGATCAATTTTGATTCCTCGATATCATGTAATAAAGCCAAAGAATTTTCCAAATGTAACTGATATACCGTGGTTTCACGATATTATTAATTCTTTTTCCTTAAAGTTTAGTGTGTCCAAAAGCCTTTTTGTGCTAATTTTTATATAAGTTTCTCTTTATTTGCAAGAAATCTGTCCAAAGATGAATGCGGAGATTTTGAGCGAAGAAATGCAGAAGAGACCACCTATGGAGATTGTGACGGTCCGTCATGCTTGTGACGGTCTGTCATGCTTGTGACGGTCCATAAGGTGGCAGCGTAGTGCAGCTGCTGAAGGAAGATGGGGAAGTCTAACCAAGTGTGGGGTTACAGAGTCCATGACGGTCCGTCGTGTCTATGACGATCCGTCCTGCAGGTTCGTCATGAAGTTCAAAGCAGTAGTCCAGTACCCATATTCCAAGAGTTTAAAATGTTTTGAAACGAAGACCCTCGACGGACCGTTGTGCCTGTAACGATCCTTCATACTTACCGTTGAGGGTAATGAAGAGAGCAACAGAAGAAACTGAACAAGTATGGGACGACAGATTCCATGACGGTCCGTCGTGACCATGACGATCTATCGCGAGGTCCGTCGATCCAACCGCGTTTTGACAAATTTCCAGCAAATAGAGTCCTTGTTTAATTAGTTTTTTTTCTATAAATAGTTCGAAAAACCTCATTTTTGAGGTTAGACACTATATTATTAGTTAAACTCTAGATTATTTGGTTAGGCTTTTGATTATCATTAGACTTTTTGTGAGATTCTTGATTACTTTGAGATTCTTGCAAGTGATTGTTTGTGATTTTTGTTGATTAATCAAGCAAACTTTTGGGTTTTACTCTTTCTCATTGAAGTAAGTACATGAATTCTTATATAATATATTTGGATATTGTGATTATGACTATGGGTAACTAAACTCCATAACTAGGGTTGTGAGAACCATAGACAAATAATGAGGTAAAACCTAACTAAAATAACAATTATAGAACAGTATCTTGCATGTATTAATAATTCTTTCGCTTAGAAGTCTTTTTAACGGATGACCAACGTTAGAACTCGCCTTAATTCTACTTGCCAGACCAAGGAGGTAGATAATAGGAAAAGAATTATCAACATAGATTTAGTGTATACTATCTAATAGGCTAGTATTGATTGGTACGAGGTAATAACTTAGTCAAATATCGAATACGACGCTTAATATAAGCTAAAGATAAGGGTTAGGATAGAAACACATGTAGCTGGACCAAGGTGCGCATTGAAACTTTCTAGATGCCGGACCAAGGATTTAGAAATATATATCTTATCACTTTGCATGCAAGATGCTAGGAAAGAATTGTTATAGTAAGAATTATCAAGTTATGAACCTGTGGGGAACACATAAACCCTAGTTACTTTGATTGATTGATTAAACTCCAACATTAGAAGGTGTTAAGTGTCTCTTTCAATTTCGTTATTTACTTTCATTCATTTAGAAATAGAAACCCTCCTTTTTATTGTTTTTGCTTTCCAAGGAAGTAATTGATCAAACAATAGTAACAATAGGTTAAAGTTAAGTCTAAACTATTTTCCTTGTGGGAACGATCCCAACCTTACTATTTGGGTTATTTACTTGACACGACCTCTAAACTTCTTATTTGAGAAGTAAGTTTGAGCATATCAAATGTTGGTGCCGCTGCCGGGGTAAGTAGCTTTTAGATTAACTTAAACCTATTACTATAATTTAGTTGATATTTTCTTGATTTTACTTTGTTTTATTGTTTTTGATTTATGCAGAACCAACCTCCTTGTATGACAAATACATGGAGAGGAAGAGAACCCTTGTTTCCCTACGATCACGAATTAGAGCGTACACTACGCAACATGAGTCGAAACTTGGGAATCAATGATGATGATCCAAAACAGAACATCCCATCTCCGGTTGATGTTGATGGTCAGTTGTTACCCGATGCTCCGGGGGAACACCAATAGAGAGGAAAAAATCCCGCTTCACGGCCCCAAGCATACTACAGAGGCTATGACAACATAGCAGACTCTGATGGGCCACTTGTCTTGCCTCCTTTACCACCAGGCCATACTTTTGTGGTAACTAGTAGCCTGATGCAAATGCTTACTGCCCGAGGTTTGTTTTCAGGGCTACCTTATGAGGATCCACATGCCCATATAGCTAAGGTAAGGGTAGTGTGTAAAAGTTGTGTAGGGAGGCCTGACTTAGACTTAGATATAATAGGGCTTAGAGTGTTTCCTCTCTCATTGAAGAGTGAGGCTGCTATATGGTTCAATGAGCTCCCTTACAACTCAATTTTCACTTGGGACCAACTAAGGGATGTTTTCTTAGCACACTACTATCCGGTCTCCAAGAGACTAAACCACAAAGATAGAGTGAATACCTTTGTGGCACTACCAGGAGAGTCAGTTAGTAGTTCTTGGTATAGATTCACCTCGTTCTTGAGAAGTGTCCCAAATCACCGCATAGATGATGAGTCACTGAAGGAATAATTCTATCAGGGACAGGATGATAATAATAAAGAGGTGTTGGACACTATAGAAGGTGGATCTTATAGGGAGTGCCTTTATGTTGAGATTGCTGAAAAATTAGAGAAAATCTCCCGGAATAATAAAGCTTGGAGTACTAGGAAGTCAGATACCGGAAGAAATACCTTCGCAGTACATTCCACTCACAACCCAGCCACAGATGAGATTCGTGAAGAAATGGCTCAGATGAGAACTGAGCTTGGGTTGGTAATAAAACATGTCACTGGGGTGCAGAAAAGATAAATGCAATCAACTACTTGTCGAAACCACCTCCACCTAATGATCAATGCTATTATGCGGAGGACACCTATGCAGAAAATGAGCAGACAGGGGGTTTCTGACCGAGCGCCCAAGGCTCAAATCAGGATAATTGGCGCCAGGGTCAAGGGAACCAAGGTCAAATCTATGGTAACTATAACCGTAAGGGTCATTATGTCCGAGATGGAAACTACAACCGCGACAACAACTTCAACAGGGGTAACTACAGTAACAGAAATGATAGGAATGGGCCCTATGTCCCTCCTCAAAATCGTAAAGTTACTCCTAGGGATGGTGGAGATAGTATGTCGCGAGTTGAGGATATGTTGCACAAAATGATGAGGAGGTTCGATGCTAGTGATGAGCACATTAAAGAGTTAAGGTGTGATTTATCAAGTATTGGGAAAAAAGTTGATACACATGCAATATCGATTAAGAAGATCGAGTTGCAAATAATCCAATTATCTGCGACAGTGAACACACGGCAATCGGGCACTCTTCCTAGCAACACTGTCCAAAATCCAAAAAATGATGCGCACTGTATGACAATCACTACTCGAGGTGGTAAGCAAACCATTGACCCACCTATGCCGTCTAATGAGGAA